TACTTGGTCAGCAAGTCCTGACAATAATTTTGAAAGAGAAAGGGCTGAAAAGCTACTTTGTGAACTCAAAGCATGGTGTAAGCAGAACGAAGAAAAATAATCTCCACTGTAGCCTAGATGATACTTGAACTCTCAGATTCACAAGTATTAAAACTTAGGACTGTGGGTTTTCATAGGGTTTGGGTTGCTTTGGGTCTTTTGGGTTTTTGGGGTTTTTTATTAATTTCTAATTGCATCACACAGACATATGAATTTGTAAGGTCATAAAAGTATGTGTAATAAAAGTGTGAGCATGCCCTCTCAAATTTATTCATAGATAGACTTTCCTCTCTTCTCAAGAAGTTTTATTTTTAAATGCAGTTTAGCATATCTCCTACATAATCCATGAGGTACAAATAGGTGACAAACTGCATTGTTTTTAATTGGAGTGATTTTCTTCAAAATCCATGGGCCAGGCTCATTAGAGATCAATACTGACAGCAATGAAAAACTGAATCTGTTCACACACAGATGAATTACAGCATAGGCAGAGTAAGAGTAAAATTCTATAATAATTCTGACTTAACAAGCAAAATGTTCTTTCACTTTCCATGCCCATTCTTCAGTCCCAGGCTTCTCCACTGAGGCAGCCAATAAAGCAGCCAATTGTGATATGCCCACTATAAATCCTACCCAAGAGCAACAATATGTCTTACATAGCTCACTAAAAAAGCATCAAAATAGCAACTCTCAGTCAACACTACAGCAGATATATGTTCTCACTATGTCCCCTCATAGAAGCTCATGTGATCCATACTACCTAAGATTTATGGACAAATCAACACATTCGGTAGATATTTTAATTAATTTGTCACCTATACTCTCTGCCCTTTCATTAATCCAATAAAGATTTCCATGTAATGGGGACTATTCCAGCAAAATACAAGTTTTCCTTTCCAAATAGAAAATAACTTCTCTAAGTTTAAAAACAAAGAGAAAAATGTAAATAGGATTTACTGAGGACACTGCATCTTAGGTGCAAAAAACAAATGCACATTCCAAAGAAGCACCTTAATATCTAAGTAATGGGAGCACACTCACAGAAAGAGTGAGATTTACTATCAGTTGTAACTGCTAAAATGAGAGCAAAGGAAAAATAATATCTGTCAGTAACTGTATTAATGGGAGATTGTTATGGAAGCCATTTAAGGAAATGCAAGACTTGGAATAGCATAATGATGAAGCTGCAGGAGAAAAAAAATGTGCATATTGTTAATATGCTGCGGTATAGCTTCAGACACTTAAATTAATGAACTAATTTCAAACTTCAAGATGTCAAGCGCTTTGATGACGATACATTTTCCATAGGAATTGTTTCCATTATATATCCATAAAACTCTTAAATAAAATTTCCATTAGTCTTTCATTTGAATAACGTGCAATTTCCACAGAAAAAGATGGAAAAATCATAAACAGTTACAAAACACAGTGCAGCAGATCTACCACATTCAAGATCTATTTTTCAAACTATTCATCAACTCAAAATAATTGCATAAAATTGGCAAAAGCATTCCAGATGCTCAGGAGAGGAAAGGCTCTTCGAGGTAATAGGTAAATTCAGGACTGAATGAAAGAAAATTAATTTCTTCCACTCATTTTTCCATCGTATAAATGCTATTTCTGAATATTCACAACACTGACAAAATTGCTTTGTCTTAAAACTGTCTAAAAAATACCCTAGGTTTTTTGTCTTTTTTTTTTTTTTTCTAATTCTGTATCCTAAATTGATGAAACTATACAACCTGTCATTTTTCATGTCAGATTTCTACTTGGTATGTTTTGAAAAGGCTGAGCTACTGAATCATTAAAATAGGGAGGGTTTGCATAATGTAAATACTGCTGACAAACTACTAACTGTAGAACTGGTAAGATGCCTTTGTAATATGTAACCACTGATGTAATATTAGAAATTATTCTTACTACTCTAAGTTACCATTTCAGCAATACATATGACTGTTTAAAATGCGATTCCAACACAGAGCAGGAGTCCTGGAAACTGTATTTTATTCCCTGAAATCATAAAATATTATCAAAATATTATCTATAATAAATACATGAAATATATGTTATCTAAGCTCCATTATCCTGCCGGGTAAAAGCCAAAGAATACTTCTGTAAGGTTTAAATTCCCAAGAGAAGAAGAGCTCAGATCCTGTCTGCAAGCACACAATGGAATCACAGCTGACGATGCACATCTTTTTCTGGATGTCTCCATATGCTCAGGAGGGTTTTTCCCCTCCTCTCCCTCCCTGTTTCTCCCTCTCCGCCTCCTTTGCTCCGAGCATTACATTGAAGAATTTGTCATTATCTGCTGCCAGAAGTATAAGAATGTTTTAACAACTAACAAAAATAAAGCAGTGCAGTGAACTTCACCTCATTTAAAAATAAAAATAGGGGATCCTGGCAGAGTAGCTGTCTATAACTAAGTTAACTAACAGTAGAAAATGGGTGGATGAATGAATGCTGTTATATGCCTTCTATAAAGTAATTATCAATCTTACTCTGTTCTTAGTTTAAAATGCTGTGTCACACAGCAGAGTATATACAGTAACAACACATTTAACCTCTGACCTCTAAAGCCAAACATGGACATAAATGAATATTGAGCATTTAAATGCCTATCAGAATACTGAAGAAATGTGTGGAATTTGTTAAATATACTTACTTGCATGCATTGTGCATTGTTTAGAGAGGCCAGCCACAGCAAATGTACAAAGAACTGAGCATGGCAAGAACAGTTTTAGTTCAGTGTTCCCTTTCTCCAATGCACAATCTATTAGTGCTCGGCAGACAAAGAGAGTTACGTTTATATTTAAATTTGGTAGCAGTCTTTGGTTCGTCTTTTCTTTCAAACGAACTGACAGCATCCTCAAGGCTTAGACCTCTTAAGCCTCTGCAATTCTGGTGTCAGGTGCTAGAGAAACTCCAGCTGAGCGCAGAAGCCCAGATTTTGCCAATGAGACGGTGACATCAGCAACAAAGGCAAGGAGCAGAAGACAGTGGGCATTGTAGCAGCAGCTGGCTCGCTCACTGACTTTGTTCTTCCGGCTGCAAAATCTGGGCTCCCTGCAGATGGGCTAGCTCTTACTGGTTTTTTGGAGGACGGAGGGAAAAGTTGGGAATGCCAACACTACAGACAGTTTACATGCCTCTTTCAACAGAGCCTTTCAGCGTTCTAATGAGCAAGCTACACCCTAAATGATTATAAAAACATAAACATTATTCTTAAGTAATTAATTTTTACTTCAGAGTCTCAGTTTAATGCAATACACTACACTATATGGGAATAAATCCCTTATATTTTCTAAAGTTTCCACCTGAAATAACCTTATTTTCTCTCTCAAATAACACGATTAAGTTTAAAAACTTAAACTGGTTCCAAAAGTACCATTGTTGATGGCAATAAAGTATTCAAATATCTTGAGTTTCAAATTTAGCACTGACACCACCAGGACACACAATGAGGAATTTATACACTTAGTAAAGAAGTGCCTTCAGACATTGCAGAGATACTGAAGAACCACATCAGACATGGATTCTCTCCCTAGTAAAGACCACAAGCCTGAGAAAATACAAAGTTGAGAAATCTTCAGGTTTTATGTGAAATAAAGGAGTACAGTGACTAAAAAGATGAGGTGATTGCAGCACGTTTGACATGCATTTATTGCATAATGCCCATGGAGATAAAAACATGTTAAAAATAATGCAATTCTTCAAAATAATGCGTGATGTTGAAAAAAGATGAATCTTTCTTCTTAAAGTTGTACTCAATATTCTTGAAGGTTGAGTCCATGACAAAGTATTTTCTTCAAGATTGTAGATAACCAAGATTTCCTATGAACATTAAGCTTCTTGCACTTACGGTTTAACCTTTTGGGGGCAATATACAACTTTCCTTATCTCATATGACACAACAGAGCCAACTTCTATGTGCAGTCCCCGAAAGAGCTGTTACCACAAATGCGAAAGTAAGGGATACAAATGTATCACTGTCCATATGCGCTTGCATACATGTCTGTATGGGAAACGATGTGCAAACCTGGTATATCCTATCTGTGACACCACTGGTGACGTAAACAAACAAGTCTTCTGGAAAAAAGTAGGAGGCATAAAGTACCTACACCAAGTACAATAAAACAACCAGTTTCCATCCACACTAAGCTGTGTTTAAGCAAACAAGATCTCTGCTTTGGGGTGTAATAGTTTCGGTATGACATTAAAAATTATATACAACATGGGCATTTCTCAGAGGGCATCCAACACAGCGGACTGGCAGCTCCATCCCTTTGGGCAATGCCAGAGGATTCCCCCGTGAGAGGAGCCCACCAGGTGGCCCAACACTGCCACTGGGTTATATGGAGCCAGGAAATTAACTGACTAGGGCTGTTTTTATAGTTCAGTACATAAAAAACCCAAAGGGATAAAATCCAAATGACTGCCTTCACCCACAATGGCAGAACAAAAACGAAAAAAAATGCTTTAAGTACAAAGACTGGCAGTCTTAAATGCTTACTTATTTACAGTGGCAATAGAGCTCTGCTGTAACTGCCATAGCCAGGCACTATATGCTTAGCTCAAATTATACCTAAACATTATGGGTTGAGTTCTAAAGCCTATTCACCTGCTTCTTACTACTCTGAAACAACAACAACAAAAAAAGAAATATAAAAACACAACAACAATTGATTATTATCGAACAAGCAGGCTGTTCTCCTTTCACAAGGAGACTCGCCAAGCTAAATTACAAGTATATTTATAGTGTCCCACATACACACATTTCAGACCGAAGTATACAGGCTAACTCAAACTAAGTATGTATCATGATACACAGATATCACGACTTCCCAGTGACTACGAGCAACCTCCTGGCCTTTTTTTTAATTTTATTTTTTTATTTCCCTCCCCCCCCACCTTTTTCTGCCAGGCTCTCGGGCAGGTTTCCCACAAACTACACGGCCTGAATGCTCCTCTCCGGCAAGAGCAGAGTGCGGTCCCCAGGCTGGGGGGAGCGCTCAGGCCCAAGCGGCGCCGCAGGAGCGAGGGGCAGCGAGGCAGGCGAGGGACGCGGCTCCTGTTACGCCTCGGCCCGCAGCCTCGGAGCCGCGCGGTGCCCGCGGCGGCGCACACACCGCCCCCCGCGGAGCAGGGGAGGGGCCGCGCACCCGCCCTCCGCGGAGGCGGCGGCACCTCCGCACCCCTCCCCCGCCCTCACGCGTGGGGCTCCGCTCGCCGCGGAGGGCCCGCCTGCAGCCGCCGCCCGCTGCGGGGAAGCGGGAGGGAGCGGAGCGGCACCCGCCCAGGGACCCCGGCCCCGCGCCCGGCCGGCTGCTCTGCTCTTCCCCCTCCTCCTGCCGCCGCTCCCCGCCCCGCGCACACACGCAGACACACGGCACTGCGGCGGCCGGGCCCCCACCCCTCCCCGGGCCGCGGGGAGGCGGCGGCCGGGCGCCCCGGGCTGCGCTCGCACGCAGCTGCGACGCCCCGCCGCCCGCCCCCGCGGCTCGGCCCGGCGCGGCGCGCACGGGCAGGCACAACCCCCGCGCAGAAAGTTAGAGAAGTTGCCCGCTTCGCCCCCTCCTTCCCCTCGCGTCCCCTGAGAGCGCGGAGCGGCGGCGAGGCGCCCTGCGCAGGGGGAAGGGGAGAGGGCGCCGGGCGGCGCGGTCCCTGCCCGGCGCGGAAAGGGGGGCGGCCGGCTCGGCCCCACGGACGGAGCGCGGAGCGGCCCGCGCCGCTGCGCACCGAGTCGTTGTCAGCTGGGGAAGGGGAGGCGGCGTCGCTCTGCTCCCCAAATCACCCCTTTTGTCATCGGGGAGAGACCCTCCCTCAAGTTTCGCTATCGCTACGTGGTGGGGGTGAGGGGGAACGTCCTGAACAGTCCCTTCCAAATCGCACCCCGCTGCCCCATCCTCCCCCAGCCGGGCCAGGGCAGTCCCTGACCCCCAGATCAGCCCCTCGCCTTCCCGGTTCCTCGCACTTTCCCCCCCAGCCAGGGGCGCGGAGAGGCGGCACCCGACCTCCGCCTGGCCTGGGAGCAGGAAACCGGCCCCCTCGGCCCGGCAGGGTGGGGTGCCCTATCCCCCCCTCCTTCCCTCGCCCAAACACGGGGACGTCCCGGAGAAGTAACCCCGCGCTCCCACCCCCCCACCGCCGGGCGCGGGGGTGCGAGCACGATGCCCCGGCAAGGGGCGGCCCCGCGCTCCCTCCGCTCCCCACGGAGGGGCCGCAGCCCCCGCCCCGCTCCCCCCGCCGCCGGCGCGGGGGAAGCCGCCTCGCCGCGGCCGCGGTGCCGCCCGCCAACGCCGCCCCTCCGCGCACCGGCGCGGCCCCGGGCGTCCCCCCGGCGCTACACGGGGCGGCCGGGCAGGCGCGGGGGGCCCGGGCACACCCCCCGCCGCGCCGGGGCCGTGCGGGAGCCGTTACCGGGGTCAGTGCCGTCTCCCGCCGCTGCCGCCGGCGCTGACCTTCGCTTTGTAAGATGAAGCTGAAGCTGGGGCTGCGGCCGCCATGTTCCTTTTTAATAACTGCCTGCTTGTTTATTTCAATGGAGACCCTCCCACCGCTCGCCCTCCTCCTCCTCCTCCTCCCCTTCTACCCAGAAGAGGGCTGGACGGGGAGGAGGCAGGGGGAGGCACAAGTCACTCCCCCCTGCCCCCGGGCACGGCGGCAGCGGCCGGGCCGCGGGCGGGGGGAGGCCGGGCCGGGCGGGCGGGCGGCAGCGCGGCGCGCTCCGGGGGCCGCCACCGCCCCTCGCCGCTGCCGCCGGCGGAGCGCGGGGCCGCTCGGCGCCCCGCCCGCAGGGACAATGGCAGCGCCCCGCTCGCAGCCCTGCGCAGCGCTCGCGGGAGCCTCCTCCTCGGCACCCGAGCCGGCGAGAAAGGGGAAGGGAAAAACAAAGTCCTTCGCCCTCGGAAGGAGAGACTTTGGCTGTGGCCCTTCGCTGTCCGTCCTTGGAGGAGCCCCGCTCCCAGGCGGGACCGGAGCAGTCAGCCCTCTTACGGCTTTCAGTGGCCCATATTCACGAAAACAGGGAAGCGAGGCGGGGGGATACAGTCTTATTTCCTTTCTTTGCCTCCGGAAAAAAGAAAAAAAAAAAAAGACGCAAGCTGAAAATCGTGTCAGCTGTATCTCACTCATGGGAGCAAGGGGATTGAGATGCAGGATTTCCCTAGATCGGAGGAGTGAATACATGAGTTAAAATTTGTTAAGGGCGGGAGGGCGATTGTTAAACATTGCCCTTTAGTTCAAGAAGCAATCCGTGATGCAGAAATCCTATCTTACAAGAAAAGCTTTACGTTTTCACACGTTTTGATAATGGCGAGTTGTACTTTACCCTGCAACACTCGTTATTTTTGACATTTTGTAGCCTGCATGTGCAGCCCCAAGTTGTTCTGTAGCTATCTGCAGATTATATATTGTTCCTGGTGGTATAGCTAACTCTGCTTGCAATTAGGCTCGTCCTATATTTTTCTGATCATAATCCCTGTTTTTCAGATGGTTACATTTTGCCCTACTGTGCTGCATAAAATTTCCCATACTTGCCTGACTTCATTTTTTTAAGCTGTTTTCTTGCATTGGGCAAAAATAGTTCAATTGTTTCTCCAAACAAATTAAAGGAAAACTCTTTCCCACACTCCTCCCCCATGTTAAAGAAAGAGGCCTTTGCAATAAACTAGCTGAAAACTTGCAATATTTTCTTCTTCTACTGAGAGAACTCAGAAATGGGAGGGATGGCCATCAGAAATCTATTTGAATTTAGTCCCATTAGAGATGGGGATGGAGGGATTGTCGTTCTTACATGCTCAATTGGAGCTTTGATGTGATAGTAACCAAAGATCCAATCCACCTTAATGCCACTGTTTTAGCTGGAGTACTTTTGACATCATCTTCAGAAGACAATACTGCAGCAACTGGAGAGGACAACCCTTCTGAACATCTCTCCCCATCAGTTGTATTTGGCAGAGAAATTACTTAGTCTTCAGGAAGCTCTTCCACCTTGCCCATACACAGGCAGGCAAAAAAGAGATTGAGGATTAATTCTGTCTGTAAAACATACAAAACAGAATATTACCTTGAAATAACATAGCAAGTAAGAGTAGCTTGTATTTGAGGGGGAGAAAAATTAAAAAAAAAAAAAACACAAAAACACCCACCCAGCAAAAAAAAAAAAAAAAGGAAGTGGGGGGTAAAGAGTCCTGGAGAGACAAAACTTTTCCTCTGACCTCATTTGTCATATCTCTGCAAATCTCTGTAGCAAATAAGCAAACAGTTAGATAGGCAATAATCTCATTTACCTCACAGTTGTGATTCATTCTCTGATGCAAAGTGAAACAGTGGTTCACTGGGGCAGAAAAAAAGAAAGAAAAAAGTATGTCTTTAATTTTGTGACCATAAACAGTCCAATTTAGAATTGCACAGATAATTTCAATTCCAGCCTTTCTTATTTAGGAAAGCTTGATTTATTTTTTTTTTTTCTGACATCTAACTTTCTTAAACATAACCAAAAATCTTTATTAAACTAATACCTAAATCCACCAGGAAAAGCAAGGAAGATCTTTAACTTGCTGTGGTAGGAGCATAAAAGCTCATATAACATGGAGTTTTTAGCCTCAACATTAACAAAAGCCCTGGCTCCTATGTGGCTGAGTTTCCTAGTCAAACTGTGTGGGAGAGGAGATTTAACTACACACATATGCTCAGATCCACTGAAATTTGTTACAAGCTTCTAACTCATAAGCAAATACATTTTGTCATCCAAGGCCAAAACCCAAAGCCCTGGTTACAAGTGTCATTGTATGCAAAGACCGGTAATTATGTTATTCCTAACTGCTATTCTTTAAAGAGAAGGGACCATCTTCCAGATGGGAAATAGATTTCATAAACACACTTCAGTACAGACTTTATTCAGCATTACAGCTCTTCTCTGAAACTTCTTCAGTGTGACCCTTGCTGCATTGTGTTGACTAGAGCTGGGCTTAATTTTTCAGCAAAAACTTCATCCATTCTAAACAAGAGTAATACAAGTTTCCTGTCATTCTCCTGTATTCACTTTCCTCCCCTTCATTCTTCTGCTTGCTATTTTGTTCACAACATCACTTTATGCATTCATTTGATTATTTGCTGTGATTTTCAAACCTTTCCTAGTGTGAAAATTAGCATTGAGAGAAGTTTTTAATTATTTTGAGTTTTCAGAGAAATTTGGTTGAATTTCCTTTCATATAACTTTTTTGCCCCCATAAATTAAGAGGAAAAAATTCAAAATCTGAATGCAACCATGTTTTCCCAGTCATATATTGTCAATGTTATTTTTCTTGCCTTTTCTACGTACCATATTTCTTTAAAAATTGGTACACAGAGTAAAACTAGCACTTGCCAATGTGTTTCTAACTGGTTTTCAAATAAGTAAAGTTATTTTTCCATAAGGTGAAAGGTTATGAACAAATTGCTGGTAGTTTATGAACTTGGTAGGCCATTCAGGTATGGCTGCTGTCTCATAAAGCTCTACCTGCAGCTTATATGCATAAGGAAGAATGGTTTATGTGCACCTGCTGACATCAGGGCAATATATAACACAGCTGTTGGTGCACAAAGCCTTTTTCATGAGCAGCTGCATTTACTCTGTAGAATCACTTTGCCCACCTTTATGGGGAATTGAATCCCCACTTATTCATTAACCTTCCTAAGTGGATTTAAATATGGTCTTTATGAAACCAATAAGATTTTTGTTGACACAGTATATACCTAACTCAAACCCACAAAAAAACCCAATTAAAACTGTGTAAAAATACTCCACTATCTTAACCATCTTCAGGATTCAGAGGACCTGTTAAAGTCTTCTGGTTGAAGCCTCATCTCAAAGTAGGGCCAATTTTGAAGTTATGCAAGGTTTTCCAGAGTCATTACCAGATGATTTTTACTGTGTCTACAGCCTCTTTGTACTACCCATTCCACAGTTTGAACACATTTGTGAGCTGTTTTGGTTTTTTTTCCATGATGTCTAATTGGTCTGTTTCAGCTTATGCCTGTTGCTTCCCACAATGAAAAGGCTACTGTGGACTTCCTAGAAGGCTCCATCTTCTCTATATTGGCCCATTAAGAAGTTGGAGGACATTAAAATTTATACCAGCCTTTTCTTCTTCAGAATAATGGACTGACCTTCTTGGTCTCTTCTTGTACATCATGTGCTCCAGCACCCTCACCATCATGGTGGCTCTCCTCTGGAGTTTCTTTTTTATGTCTGCATCTTTCCCACACTGGGTAGCTCAAAACTGGACCAAATTTTCCAGATGTGCTCTCACTCTATGGATGGGAATAGCCACTTTCCTCAACCTGCTGGCTATTCTTTTCCTATGGCAGCCCACGATGCTCTTGACCTTCTTTGTTGCAAGGTCACTGCTGACTTACTTGTTGCTCACCAGGACTTCCAAATTTCTTTTTGAAAATCCTTTCCTATTGCTTTATCCTCTAAGTGGCTATTCTGTACCAGATACAGGATGCTGCTCTGCCACTCATTGGACTTTGTGAGGTTCCTGCCAGCCCATTTTTGCAGTCTGCTAAGGTTGTCCAGAGCACTGGCCGCTATCTCCCACTTTGCTGTGATCTGCTCTTCATCTCATCCCTGAAGTCACTGACCATATTTCACAGTACCCACCCCTGAAGTACATTGGCCACCAGCAGGACCTGCTCCTGCTGATGGCAGCCCTTGAGACCAATGGTGCAGCCAATGTTCCACCTTATCTTCTACTTAGCCTTGGTCCTACCTCTCCAGTGTGGTTAGAGGAGGTCTGTAGTCGTTTGTGTCTAAAGCTTTGTTATAGTCAAGGTAAACGACATCAGCTGCTCTCCGCTCCTCCACAGATTCACTTACCTCATTATACAAACCAGTCACATTGGTCAGGCAGAATTTGCCCTTTGTAAACCCTTGCAAAGAGAGAAATGGATACACTAACTTTCTGCCTGCCCCCAGGCACCTTACTGCCTTTCACACACCTGGAGAAGGTGTCCAGGAGGATTTGCTACTTAATCCTCCCACAGTCTGAGGTCAGCCTGGCTGACCTGTAGTTCCTTGGATCTCCCTCTTAGAAGATGGACTTGACATTTGCCTTTTTCCACCTTCCCCAGTCACCCCTACCTTTACTCACTACACCACCACACCACCCCCTGGCATGACACACACACCCTATAGTTCCTACAACTACAGTGACCCTCTGACCTCCATTCACATCTCCAAATACTGCTGAGTATCCTGCTTCCATTGGCCCTTTACCACAGTCTGCCCTTTCAAAATAACACATTGACTTACATGGCTTCCTTTAAAGCATCTGGGATCTGGCTCAGGTTCTTCAAGGACACTTTGGCTTTATCATGATTTGATACAGTGCTACAACAACCTCATTAAGAGCTTGCAGTGAAGAGAATATCATATGCATATAGTGCATATATGGTTAGAATTTTTTTTTCCTA